ATATATATATATATATTCCTCAAAGAGTAATTCTGACTTCTAACCGCCCAGTTGTTCAGGCTTTTACCCAAAAGCCAGTTTGACTTACCACCTAAATGTTTCAAAGTAAATTAAGATAAATTAAACTTTAACCTATTTTACTTTTTAATCTACATGTTATGTTCACCATCTGTAGGGACACTGTTGGTCAGTTGACTTTGATCGATTCACTAGATAAAGCCCGCGAGACATCACGTGAAACTAGGCGCACCTCGTTTAAAGTTTCGGTTTAGAGGGACGGTGTGAGAACAGCACTGTTTGAGGCACGGCCATGCAGCACGAAAAGCCTGATTTGGATCGGTTGGGAATATTCAAGGAAATGTCTTATGTCACTGTTGGAGAACCTTATGTCCCTCCTCAGTCACACCTAGCAATGATACGAACAAATCCACGTGGAGTGCCACCGATGTACCTAGCTGGCGGGTATTCCAAGTCGAAATCTGCCAACGCCGATGGGTATTTCGCCCCCTTTGAGTCGATCCATATCGGCGATGGCAATGTTCGTTATGCAGATATTTTGCGCGAGGCACGCAAACAGTCCAAAGCAAAGCGTATTGGTAGAGGAGAATGGATCCCTTCGAGCGGGTCAAAGCTACGTTCGGGAACCGGAAGCAGCTATGGCAACTTTCAGGAGCGCTACGAGGCATTTGACCCGGCTCGGAAGGTAGTCTCAAGAGTTCCGGAACTCAAGAATTTCTATACAAACCCAGGCAAGAAAGGAACTGGTTATGGTTACGTTGATGTATGTCTCAATCCGTATCCTAGCGCAACAGTTGGCGACACTCCGGGGGAGATTGCTCGACGTACGTATGAGGCACAGATCAAAGACCATATTGCTAAACTAAAAGGTCGAAAACCGTTTATCTCAACGTGCCGAACCCTAGATGCATTTGACGGAAACCCCTGGGCGGAAGGAGATCCTCTTGCTCCGGGTGGACCCAGTACTATGAAGTTTGGAACTGCCGCATTCCCTAAGTCTATGATTATTGGGCCAACATTTGTACCATCTAGTCCGGCTAAACGTGATGGTGGAAAGAAGGACGGAACTTTGAATCCATTTCCTGAATACTCTTCCGAGCCATACGTAGGACTGCAAGGCATTCGCAAAGAGGACAAATCCAAATTTGTCGGTCCACAGTGGATTCCAAACCCGGGTACCGCGTTGGTTATCCCCACCCCATCGATTGTGGCAAAAAATACCATGTTACACTTCAATTCCAAAACGCGAAAAAGTCGGCAGAAAGTTTGGGACATCTGTTAGGGATTGTAAAAAGAAACCGGGGAATCGACTTCACTAAACTGTACTTTCTACGGCTTCTGGAAATACCGGACTGTGCAATGTATTGATGCACTACAAATAAAAATTTCTGTTCGAATCTTAATTTCCTTACCGGGGCTTCCGTGTTTTCTGATCTCCAGATGCGTGGCAAAATATGGCCGCTACCCATTTCCAGTACCATTTTGAATGTCCAGTTCTGTCCCATGTGTTTGAGTTAAACCGCTGGAAATGCATGTAGGGGACCTGGGCTTAGACTTCCTATCCTCTTCTGTTTTGTTCTTTTCATTGCCGGGCTCCGTTTAAATAAACAAACGGGGTTTTGGTGGTCAACAAGTAGTGACCCCGTCAAAGAGGATGATTCTGACAATGGTGATGATGATGATGATGATGATGTCGACATTGACGGAGTACGATAAGCCCGCTTCGTATGAGTCGTTACGTGGCTCAAGTCATGCGTTCTCTCCGTTCATCCGGCACCCTTGATACACGACACGACAATTTTACAGGAGAATCTATCATCATAAACCATCTTGGTTGATATCCGGTCCTCAGAAGTCCGTAGTAAGCTAGATCTTCCACAATTAGACGACTAGTTCAAATACTCCCTTCAGGATGGTGTACCTGATGAGACAAAGTCAACACCACTGTGTGATCAAGATGGGGCAGTAGCAATTCGGCCACGTAAATCCGTCGTTCACATCGAGCGATACACTTGACTGTAAACCAGTTGTGACGTATGAGGGTTTTGTAGTTATATCTGTTGGCTTTGATTCTATAAACTCTCACCATGTAGTGAGCACTTAAGGAATTCGCCAGCTTGTGTCCTAAACAAATTGAAGTCATAAGCGTGCAATTCCAACGCTTTCCCCCACTCCGTGTCAACACACGCCTAAAGAGTTTTTTCTCCTCAGCTTATTTGAGCTTTTCAATGGACCAACGACTGCCAACCGATTACTGATTTTAAAACCCGATTCACAGCATTTGAGAACCCAAGAGCATTAGGATGTGACCATATCAAGTAGTCTCGTTTGCATAACGAAGAAGCTGAACGAGGCTTAGCGTTGATTTTACGTTGTTGAACATGAGTAGTGCTGAATACTGATGATGACATCTGGTGGGTGTTAACCATGCAATCAAGCTCTCTTCAGTACAGTTAGACGTCTAGCTTTTTTGTCAGGTGCACCGAGAAAAGCAACGTTTCCACAGGATCTTACTGCTTAGATTTAACGAGAGTAGCCTACCTCCGAGATGGCCTTGATGAAAAACTATTGGCTCTTTGAGAGGTCACCGTCTTAATGAATGCCTCATCTGATTGTCTGGTACCCCTGTTCCAACTTTCCCACTTCCACCTTCCACTTTTCTTCACCATCCACACCAATCGCCGACAAGAGTCACGTCTATCTCAGGTAATCGTTGCATTAATGTGGCTTGGCAGAACTCCCACTTACTGCAATATCCAATAACCTTTATAGACATAATATACTACTCATAAGGCTGCTGAAAATTCTTCGACAGCCGACGACCGGTTGCGCCCTTTTTTAGGCTCATCAGGTAGGCGCAGTCTCCGGGTTTCCAATAACCTCATGTTCTACTTGAAACCAAATTGCACGAAACTAGCGAAATACACTCATTTGCAAACTAATTTGGTTTTCTGAAAGTGACTCAGCTAGGACCCAGCTGAATCTCTCGTTTATCATGTTTTTAAGCGACTGAAAGTGCTGTCTTGGTTGTTACGATATTCGAGATGTCGGGGGCGAGATGGACTAAGGGGTTAGAGCGCGAATTTGCTGACCGGAAGGTCCGTGGTTCGAACCCGACCGCTGCCTCTCGACTTCCCCTGTCTAGGCCCGGGCGATCTGGGAATATCCTAGCCTCCTTCATGCCTCCTAGAGATGTTACGATTCAGCTGGATTCCAGATGACTCCCTCGAAAAACCAAAAATCCGTTAACCATTATCTACCAGGCTTGTTACCAAATCCTCAAAGCTCTTGTCAATGGATATTCCCGGCCATCTGCTTCTCCTGACATGTACCTACAAATTTCGTCACCTCCATGCGGCACCGCAACGAATTTTCGCGCTGTTGACTTTTTGCATTCAGTTCACTGGAGATGACGATCTGACCACATATGAACAGATCTTCTGTGGCAAATCATGACGGGGTGTATATTTCTTCTCACCTAATTTCAAGCTTGACCAAATAATTCCCGTCTCAATAAACAGTTTTCCAAAAAAATCAGCTGTGTGACTGGGCAAACTAAAAGGACTAGTCAATAATCAACGGGTCCATTTTGATAACAAGGCTTTCGGGAATGAATGGACACACTGAGGAACCGTGGTCCGCCGATCGCAACATACCAGAAGATTTGTGTGAACGGAATCTTTCTTGTTGAGGCAACAACGGTCTTCTGGACTGTGTGCGCGTAAAAATTCCAACCAGCTCCCTGAAGCACCACACTTCATCGACTGTACCTGCCAGGTTCAACTCCACCGCCGCCCCTCTCCTCCATAAAACTCCATCAGCCTCTTGAGAGAAGCTGTTCTAAGGAATCTCCAAGGTTCCAGACCCTTATTTTCGATGTCCGACAGGCAACTTGTGACAAGTCAACACTGTGCCACTTTGCTGATAGTTTGCAGCTTAACCGTTTTTGAATGCAGTGGTTCCAGATGATGGCACGTACACGGATGTAAAATCACACCAAGGACCTTGAAAACTCCACAAGTATTCGATAGATGTCATCTGGTAGTTTTTTTAACAGTCTCCTTGTGTACCACAAAATTTAAGCTACACACCAAACGTTTTCTCTCCTGGGAAAGCCGAAGAAGGAGTGAGTGTATTTTACTTTGTGAAGGTGATATTTGTTTAACGGTGTATACTACTGATGAACATGCAAGTAGCCTCTGGTCCGATATCCAAGACCTGCCTCCGCACCTGATGGAAGGTGAAGGTTACTACGGAACCGCTTTGAAGTACTCGTCCTTTGTTCTTTAATATGCAGAGAATGTCCAGGACAGTTCAAGAGGACGTTTGTGAATGTTCGCTTTTCAAAATCGATGTGCAGATGAGCTATTCACTTTCGTGTCTATTGACTTGTAACCGGTTAGTTCGTGTTTACCAATAAACAACTTCACAGCGAGGTGTTTCTTTTCACTTACGCTTGAAGAGACCAGCCAGACGACTGATATTGAATTTGCTTGTGATCTCACCTATTTTATTCCTAGGCGAGATATTGGAGATCAGGCTAAGAAAGGACGACACTATTTGCATGAAGGAAACTACTCACAAGGTTACTGAAAACTCTTCGACAGCCCACGACCGGTTCCGTCCTTCTTGGGGCTCATCAGGTAGGCGCAGTCCCCGAGTTTCCATCAACATTATGTTCTACTTGAACCCAAACTGGACTATTCTCGGGAAATACACTTGACTCAACCAGGACCCAGCTGAATCTCTCGTTTATCATGTTTTTAAGCGACTGAAAGTGCTGTCTTGGTTGTTACGATATTCGAGATGTCGGGGGCGAGATGGACTAAGGGGTTAGAGCGCGAATTTGCTGACCGGAAGGTCCGTGGTTCGAACCCGACCGCTGCCTCTCGACTTCCCCTGTCTAGGCTCGGGCGATCTGGCAATATCCTAGCCTCCTTCATGCCTCCTAGAGATGTTACGATTCAGCTGGATTCCAGATGACTCCCTCGAAAAACCAAAAATCCGTTAACCATTATCTACCAGGCTTGTTACCAAATCCTCAAAGCTCTTGTCAATGGATATTCCCGGCCATCTGCTTCTCCTGACATATACCTACAAATTTCGTCACCTCCATGCGGCACCGCAACGAATTTTCGCGCTGTTGACTTTTTGCATTCAGTTCACTGGAGATGACGATCTGACCACATATGAACAGATCTTCTGTGGCAAATCATGACGGGGTGTATATTTCTTCTCACCTAATTTCAAGCTTGACCAAATAATTCCCGTCTCAATAAACAGTTTTCCAAAAAAATCAGCTGTGTGACTGGGCAAACTAAAAGGACTAGTCAATAATCAACGGGTCCATTTTGATAACAAGGCTTTCGGGAATGAATGGACACACTGAGGAACCGTGGTCCGCCGATCGCAACATACCAGAAGATTTGTGTGAACGGAATCTTTCTTGTTGAGGCAACAACGGTCTTCTGGACTGTGTGCGCGTAAAAATTCCAACCAGCTCCCTGAAGCACCACACTTCATCGACTGTACCTGCCAGGTTCAACTCCACCGCCGCCCCTCTCCTCCATAAAACTCCATCAGCCTCTTGAGAGAAGCTGTTCTAAGGAATCTCCAAGGTTCCAGACCCTTATTTTCGATGTCCGACAGGCAACTTGTGACAAGTCAACACTGTGCCACTTTGCTGATAGTTTGCAGCTTAACCGTTTTTGAATGCAGTGGTTCCAGATGATGGCACGTACACGGATGTAAAATCACACCAAGGACCTTGAAAACTCCACAAGTATTCGATAGATGTCATCTGGTAGTTTTTTTAACAGTCTCCTTGTGTACCACAAAATTTAAGCTACACACCAAACGTTTTCTCTCCTGGGAAAGCCGAAGAAGGAGTGAGTGTATTTTACTTTGTGAAGGTGATATTTGTTTAACGGTGTATACTACTGATGAACATGCAAGTAGCCTCTGGTCCGATATCCAAGACCTGCCTCCGCACCTGATGGAAGGTGAAGGTTACTACGGAACCGCTTTGAAGTACTCGTCCTTTGTTCTTTAATATGCAGAGAATGTCCAGGACAGTTCAAGAGGACGTTTGTGAATGTTCGCTTTTCAAAATCGATGTGCAGATGAGCTATTCACTTTCGTGTCTATTGACTTGTAACCGGTTAGTTCGTGTTTACCAATAAACAACTTCACAGCGAGGTGTTTCTTTTCACTTACGCTTGAAGAGACCAGCCAGACGACTGATATTGAATTTGCTTGTGATCTCACCTATTTTATTCCTAGGCGAGATATTGGAGATCAGGCTAAGAAAGGACGACACTATTTGCATGAAGGAAACTACTCACAAGGTTACTGAAAACTCTTCGACAGCCCACGACCGGTTCCGTCCTTCTTGGGGCTCATCAGGTAGGCGCAGTCCCCGAGTTTCCATCAACATTATGTTCTACTTGAACCCAAACTGGACTATTCTCGGGAAATACACTCATTTGCAAATCAATTTGGTTCACGTAACTTCATAAACGAGAGATTCAGTTGAGTCTCTAGTGAAAACCAAATTGCTTTGCAAATGAGTGTACTTCTCAAGAGATGACACTGTTATTTCTCCATGAGAAGAAGTATGCCCTAAAAACACTGTCCCCGTGTTCAGTAGAGAAGAAAATTTTGTCATACTGAGAGCTTTCTACAGAGAATCCTCTACACAGACAAGTTATGCTTTTTCTGGCAATGGGCTGAAATCAGAATCGACGAATCGGGTGCAAGCGCAAGCCTGTCTCTTCAAACACCGGAAAAATCTTTGAGTTTTGACGCAGATCTTCAACTAGCCCCCTTCCCTGCAGACCTTGTTGAACGTTCTCCATGCCGAAATTCTGGAATGACCATAATGGATTTTTCATGAGGACCGTGTAAAGTTACCACCGCCACCCCCAAACACAACAGCGAAATTGTGGAAAAATAGAGCTTCACTTCCTCAAGAAGACTGTGTGGTAATTGCTATGGCAACGGATGGTTATAAGGGTGCGTTTGAAATCAGCTGTTTTGAAATCAGCTGTTTGTTTGACGTGATGAAGTAAAAAACCAGATAGATCTCAATGTATACCTCAGAAAATTGACGTTTTCGACTTCTATTCAAAACACATCCTCGACTCTGAGTACTCTGAAAATGGTAATTTGGTCGTTTAATTCGGAGTAAACTTTCAGTGTTAAACCATAAGTTAGAACCAGTGAGGTCGTTTTAGTAGTCTAATAAAAGATTAGGTGATGACCCAGAATTATACTCTCGGCATAGTAAAAAAAGATCGTTCAGCTGTAACACCCTTCCGGTGCCTAGCTGCCATGCTACCCGAAGGAGGTGCGAGGGCTGGGATACTGCCAGGTTGCCCAAGTCTAGACAGGGTAAGTCGAGAGGCAGAGGTCGGGTTCGAACCACGGACCCTTCCGGTCGTAAATTCGCGCTCTAACCACCTGAGCCACCTCGCCATCACGGCACAGTAAATCCAAACGAAAGCTTCGAACCGGACGAGCAATATCTCGGTGATTTCTGTGTATTACCGGAACAGGTTATATGGTTACTGTCAGCTTGAACACGGAACAAAGCCGTGGAGACGTTAAAGAGCCATCATGGAATACTTTAGAAATTCCGGCTTACCGAATGTCCAATAAAAAAGCGAATTCTAGTGTCCTTTTTTCACGTGAAAATCTGGGGCTAAGGGAGCATTGACGGTACTTCCAGAGTCCCGGCTGACAGCAACATCAGTTCCCTCCCAAGACTATTCATCAGTAAGTTTTTTAGGTACATCAGTGACATACATACAGTAGTATGAATTCCGCATGGGTTTCGGGGAACTAGGAGGGAGGAATGACAACTGCAAAGCCTATTATTCATTGCCATGGGTTGTTGAAGAACCCAAAGTATTATCCAACATTTGACCTGGTTGCCCCGCTTTGATCGACTTCATGAGTATGTCGATAGGTTTTTTCACCTGCATGTTAGCCCGATACACATCACTGTTAATTAAGTTCCCCCTGAGAGACTCTAATACCGCTCAGTCCAGTTTTAGGACGGTAGAAACAAACACGAATTCCAGCAGCTATTCTAGTTTTGTGCCCTATGGTAGGATAACAGCCATTAAATATCATTCCTTGTTGTCGTACGCAAGTTCTGAAACACGGTTCTCTGATAATAACCACGCCCATTTTGTTACGTATCCAATTTAACCACCAGAAACTGAAATAAGATGGTCCTACGCACCAACTGAGTAACAAACCCTGGGAGTTGCCTGCAACAAACGTCTGTGACCAATCGCGTTCAACCATTAGATGAGGCAACCGGAGTGACTGGGCGTGGGATTAAACCAGCGGGTTGCCATGGCAACCTTCATCGGACTGGTGGTTGCTTCTCTCCGTACGGCTGACGTTCAACCAGTCGAAGCGTTCCAACTTACCGGCTAGGACCGGTGCACATTGTGTCCCGTGTAATGTTGCCTGTGTCTATCCAGTCGGTGAAATGACTGGCGAAAGGAATGGAGTCCCAACTCTCGACCACTGGCATTCCAACGGCAGTCCAATTCAGATTCATGTGAACGACCTCTCAGAGGATGTACAGGAAGGAACAACAGCGGATAGCTTGACTGGATCTATGTGTCAAGTTCAAAACAATTCGGTGTTTTTAAGAGTACCAGAAGTGAAAAACACTGGACATTCCTACTCTTCGTGGATAAAGGAAGATGTGGAGGACGGTTTGTTCTGGTCTGATCCGCGGTGCACGAGGAGTAGTCCCATTCAGATCTTTAGTCCGATGACAAGCCAAAGACAGTCAACTGAATGGAATCCTTCGTCTTCAGTCAGTCTTCATGGGCGACTGCATTCTCACGCTAGACAGACAAGTGGATCTGTTGACACGAGTAAGCATTTAGATCAGAACTTGCGTCTAGTGGTGTGTCGTACGTTTTTATCGTTATTCCACATTTCTGCCACACTCTGTTCAGAAGACAACATCCTGGCACATGTTTGAGCTGTTTGTTAGTTTTCTAGGAATGGATATAATTCTCATGCATCTCTCATCAAAATATGGCATACAGACCACACTTTCATCGTGATACAGCACGCTAATTACAGATGACCGAGGCAGTCCACCACAAGTTTTGCCTTTCTTTAAGACTCACCAGATAGGGTTTTCAGAATCTTCATTTTCCAAACGAATACTGAAATTTATGTAACCGGGGTAATAGACCTATTCGTATATCACGTTTTTGTTACCAGGACGGTCAACCGTGTCTCTCATTCTCATGCATTCTTCAACAGAATGTGTTGAACATCATGCCCCCCTGATACCAATGTATTAAGCAAATGCCTTTATTTGGTGATTATTTTACTTCTTGACAGGTTTTATCATGGTGTAAAAATTCCAGGAAGGTCAGGTTCCTGAAAGTAGTCCATAACGCGCGAAGCCTACTGAGACCCTAAAACTCCACCGAAATCTCAATAGGGAAGCCAGCAAGCATCCAGGCCAGTCAATTCAGCAAAAGCCGATGAGTGTTCAGGCAGGCCACGGAAGCACAACCGACTATGATAAGTGTTCAGGCATTTCATAGAAGCCCGGTCGACGGGTGTTCTCTCATCGCGGATCAGACAGCCTGATTTAATGTCAAAAGTACCGATGTAACTTTGGCACTCGCACACACTCATTTGTTCCAATGAAACCGTCGTGTTCTTTGTTGCCGAGCCCTTCTTCCAGCACTAGGCACTGGACAACGGTCAGATATAACAAAAATATACGCTTAGTACCACCCGAAAAGAAAAAAATATTAAAGCCGTTATCACTAAATCTGGTGTATCGATTTCCAACACGTCTGTATATTGTGGGCGCAACACACGCAGTTGACTTTATGGTGGGCTTGCGAAACGAAGGCCAGACAAACCGATCAGTGGTTTCATCGGAGAGAGTCGACTACGAACATTTCAGGCGCATTGGGTTTTTGGTGAAAAAAACTACCAAGTGCGTTGTCTAAAATGCTCATCTGAGAATCTTTATTGTGAACAGAACAGTCAAATGGGGGTATAGAATATCTGAAGGACGGCTGCTCTCGGCTATCAACAGTGTTTAACATTTGGCTGCTTGATTAGTTCTACTGATAACACAATTCGTTTTTATCATAGTTNATATATAGAATATCCGAAGGACGGCTGCTCCGGCTATCAACAGTGTTTAACATTTGGCTGCTTGATTAGTTCTACTGATAACACAATTCGTTTTTATCATAGTTCACTTAGATGTTATTGTGCATTTTGACGATTGATTGAGTGTTGGGCGTCAGTGCCAAAAATAGCCCGGCTCGAAAGTCACTGGTGCAACTCTTCCCTTATTAGTTATGGGTGCTTACGGGATTTGTAGGATGCATTTTATCGAAAAGTCGTTGTCCTGTCCCGAATAACTTATTCTGGTGAGCCCAGGCTAATGAGGGAGGGGGGATTACTGGGCCAGAGGTTCGCTCCTTTTAGAGCTCATCAGTAGTACATATCCTTCACATATCTGACATGCGAAGCGAGTGCTTTGCCGCCACTGCACAGTTCTCTAATCAGACGCCTTGCTAGTCCGAACTTGAAGCGGTTCATCAGCATCTTCGAAATCCTCTACATTCGTTTGCAATCGCTGACGTCATTCAATCCTGATTGGCATGCGGCGGGACATATCTTGTGAAGGTTTGCAATTAATCGAGGCGTCTAAAGTCTAAGAAAATCTTATTGTCACTACGTCTGACTACGCTTGATACAAACATGAAAAACGACTGGAGTATTAAAACTTCACTAGAGAAGGCTCTATCAACCATATCACAGAACCAATCCGTGTCTTACCCTATTGGAGAATAGGTTGGTCGGGAAGTAGTTGAAAGGAATAGTACGCATTTATAAGTTTCCGAATACCAGTGAACGTATCGGAGCCATATTGCGATATGTTGTCCTTCGGTCGTGAAGAACGTCTATGAGAATCAATTACTTTTGTACGCTTGGGCTTTATATCCCAATTGTTGGCACACGTCTATGTTTCCTTTGAAAGTAATGAGCGAAGTTCAGGCATATCATATCTGTCTCTACGGTGTACGAGTGTGTGGTTTCTAGTAGGAGGTAAGTACCACTGCCTTGAGGAGGAAGGATAGAAAGAAAGATTGATGGAAACCGTTTCTAATTATTTTCATAGCTTGGCAACACACGCTGGATATCATTCAAAAACCCACTACCGGTTTCGCCTCCCTTATCCCAATCGGATAAGCGAACTATCCAAGTTTCTATTCGAATTGTGATTTAGATGAACTCTGAGTTATATCTAATTGCTGAAATATTCCAAATTAAAAATTGAATTTGTGTTAGCGAGAAACTGAACCGGACCCCAGCATTTCCGAACTCAATGCGTTGCACATTTATGCTTACGTCGACACGATATTCGTGAGGTCGAAGTATAATTTTGTTATAGAATGGGGAATATCAAAGAAGAGATATTAAGCTGGGATTCCTTTGAGCCCCAAGTTAACACCAACCCAATTTATCACTGAGGTTAGTTCACTAAAAGTATTGTGTTCTTTCATCATCTGGTGGGATATGGGTTAGCGTCATATAGGTCACCCACCAGTGTTGCAAGTAAGGACTGAAATAGATCAATCTAATGGCTGCTGTTACAAGGCCGTCTTGTGATTGGTCAATAGGTAACGCCCACGTCTTCGGTTTGAGGCGTTGCGCGTCTGATTGGTCTGACTATTGATTAACCTTGGGCAGACGGTTGACATAAGCAGGTCGTTGTTTCTTCGGCGCACGCAGGTTGGCTCTGAAGCACCACAGTCTGCATTGCATAGTTCTGCATAGTCAAATAAAACCGTGAACTCGCGAAATACACCCACTGGGAAACTAAGTTGGTTTTTGTGGGAAACCTGACCGGATTCTTGGGGAATTTCTAGCTTACAACATTCTTCAGCCGAATGGGCTGCAAGAAGGCGGTCTCTTTTTCAAAATTATCATTAGTGGAAGATTCATTGGGAGTCAAATCAGTCTTCTGTTAAAACCAGATTGGTTTACGATTGAGTGTAGATCGCGAATTATGTGTAGTTTTGGTTCGAGTGAAACATTAGACTGATATAATTCGCCTATCTGCGAGCTCGAAGGAGGGCGGGACCGTTCATGAGCTGCCGGAACGTTTCCAGCAACCTTACGAACAGTGTGCTCTCGCCAAGACCGCGAGTACTGTGCGGTCCGAACGTACGATCAATGGTTGAACCTGGTTTTCCCTTAAATGCATTTTGAGACGGATATTAAAACCTATTTTTTCCACGACTGGGTATTCTCATTTACTTGCCAGTCTCTTGCAGAAGTAGCACTACAATCGCCGGAACCAATCGATCAACATGACAGAGATTTGGTTTTCTGACAAGACGTATTATTTTGTAACCACTTGTACCCAAGGATTCATCGTTGGGTGACTCGCAGTGTTCGGAAATGTCTGGAGAATATTCCAGAAACACCCATGTAAGAATCGGGTGATGCTATCATGTTCATAATGGACCTCTTTTCAAAAATTAATTACCGTGAATTGTGAATTTGTGGAAACAGGGGATCCGATATGCTGTATTAAAAGGCTAGTGTCGCTAGGTTCCCGGTCAAAAATCACATTTCTGTTCATTGATCCAAGCTTACAGAATAGGCTGGCATGGTAAGGTGTAGCAAGACTTGCCAAACACCCGTTTTTCGGTTGGATTTATCGGGATTTTAGGCTCCTGTCTACGCCAAATTAGTTAAAGGTCACATCGTATACGTTTGTTCTGCCCTAACGTCCTCGGTAACCCGAAGTTAGTTTTGGGTGGTTGTAAGATTTGTAGAGTTCCAATCATTCCACACCTGTCCTGGCCGCATTATTCTGGTGAATCCAAACCAAGGGGGGATCTATTAGAATTAATCAACGGTGCACACCCATGGCTGCCTCGGGGTTCGAACTCCGGACGTCTGATGTGCGGGGTCAGCTAGCATGTAGTTATTCACAGGTTAAATCCCGACCTGATCAGTGCTTTGCACTGCTGACGAGCTATAATGAGAGTTCAGGGCTTTGGTGTGGATATACCCCCAAGACAGAACAGTCCCCTTCCTATCCTGTTCAGAGTTCATCCACGGAAGGTGTGCAGTGTTCTCTGTGCACCCTGAGAGTAGTGCTCCAAATGAGTGGCCGAGAGCGTGGTGAAGAGTGGGTGCGCGTTCACGCGCACAACGCGCACACAGTAACCGAACTAGTGACATACGTCACGGGCTGTCACCGACTGATGGATGGAAATCCTTAAACCACCTCACTGTTGTGCCTGTCTATCCAGAGAATTCGGGCCATGGAAACACGAGGACTATGCCTACGTAATGAGACTAAGTAGAGTGAAACATGTAGTAAGCTTACAGAAATTTTCCATAGGACTTGTGAGTAGTGTGTCATCTCAAGATAAAATTAGCCGTGTTACATTATCATTAGTTAATGTTAAGATCCCGCTGGTAGTAGTTAAGATATTACTGACGAGTAATCAGTGTTTAAAACAACAAAATCTAATCCCATGATTAGCTGTCGATGTTTCAGACAACTATTCTGTCAGTAATCAACTGTTCTCATGAGACCATACCACCCGGGAAAAGCACTAGGCAAGAATTTCGCTTTTATTAAAGCTCACCTTCATCGCATATGATCGGCGGTGCCCGGGTTCGAACTCCGCGTATGTGACATGCGAGGCGAGCATACGATCACTGCTTCACCCCCGCTCGCTGGTTGCCTCTGAATTATTACATCGAATAAACTGATCCAGTTAGTCAAGCGTGAACACGTCCACCTATTTTGCGTCAGCATTTGATGGAGGAATAGCAGCAAGGCGCTTGGCTCAAATATCCTGTCTTCGAACCCCGCTAAAGCCAAGGATATGCAGTACTGATGAATTCTAGTAAGAGCCAAACTTATTGTTTCTTCGCTTTGTGTGGATTCACCAGGAGGAAGACGAGAGGGCGACTGTTCACAGGATATCGACGTGATTGTGACCTTATGATGAGTATCGTGGAACTACGAGAAGTTGGAGATGTTAACAGTAAGAACCTGTTTACAACAGCGAAGTTCTTTTTATCTTAAGTTTCAAACGGTCAACTACATTTTTCGTGTGAATTGATTACCTGTGTAACGGTGGTACTACTGATGAGGAGGCACGCGAGTAGCATGTGTTGTTCGTGGAACTTCGCTTTGTGTCTTTTGAAAAGGTGCGGAATTTGTGGAGTCGCTTTGTAACATTTGCTTGGATTTGAGCGATGGATGAATGGAGTCAATGAATCTCCAGGAAAGTTCAAGAAGACACGCTCGGGAGAAGATGGATGTCCAGTTTTTGTAAATAAGATGCAAATAAGAGTTTTGCTTCGCTGCCCAATGGTCTGTAACCGGTCAGTTGGCATTTTCTAATAAATAACTCCGCAGCGAAGGCCTTCTTTCTTTCACCTGTAGCGTAACTGAATGTATTTCATGTAAAAACTAATCATTTAAAAAATGATCGTAAAAACTCACGAAAACACCAATTCCTAAACCTGATAATCGAACTCGATTTCGATCAAAAACGCAAACACTTTGAACCCGGAGGGAGTTTGATCACAGCCACGTGAAACTCATTTTCGATGGATGGTATGATGGAAAGTAAAGCATGTGGCCACATTGACATAAGGATCAAAAATATTCTTCGAATCACACTACTTATTATCGCTTTTGATTGTTCTGAGGTTCACCAGGCAAACCTAGCTCAGGAGTCTTATGAGTGAAAAGATGCGTGGATGTCTTGAACATTGCTCTGACTGAAACACGCAGTGGCCCTTGAGTGTCATATTTACTTTCAGACTGTTTTCAGGAATATGATTGGCTGGGAGTCGGAATGTACTTTACCAACTGCGTACAATTTGGTTTCAACTGGAACATAAAGTTGACTGACGTGAAACTTGTTGATGAGTCCCAAGGCGATCGAAACCACTCATAGGTGAAAAGTTTTAAGTAACGTTATGAGTAGTGTGTTACGTGCTGACAAAAACGTATTGTGATATCTCTAATATCGTACAAACGGAAAAGTTAGGCTACCCTAATGCAGAACATCTGGACAAGGAAGAACACTACAAACGAGAGCTTCAGCTTGGAGCTATTCGAGTCCCTCGTTCGAATCAAATTGGAGTTTCCGTTAGAGCGACAATAGCTCAACTTCTTACCCCTTTAATCCTACGGTAACTGGTTTCAGTTTTTGGTTGGAACTTTGGTAGGCTGAACAAGAGTCAATTTACCGTTCGTCAAGTTTCTTCACCGTAGTGATAAGCAACAGAGAGAGGTGTGTGGGTACTTACTTTCTAGGCGGTACCTAAATTGTATTTATTCTAAGTCCAACAGACGTACAAAAAATCTATCTTCTAGCGCCGCAAACGTTCTAGTAGCTTCCGTCTTCCAGGCGCGAACTTGAGAAGCAAAGGAGATTTATGCCAAGTACTCTGACTTGCATAGGAATTCGGTTTTGACGTGAGATCCATCGAACGTTTTAGTTGGTACGATATTTGAGATATCGCAATACGTTTTTGTCCCGACGTAACTCACTACTCATAGTGCTACTTTTTCAATATCCGTCAATTCGCAGCTTTGGCAGATATTGTCGGCTGCATATCAATCATTGGTTCTCAAATCTTGACTTGTTTTCCAAGAGTAGTGCTCACATTTTTTATGCTGATCTAATAAGCGTGGAATGGTAGAAGTCACGGGTGAAGCCTCTAACTGGTGGTGTGGTTGTCTTTTTGTTTAGGCTACTAGAGCGCGAGGCCGCATTTCCTCTCAAGCATTTTCTGGAGGACGTGGCTTAACTTCGTGATTTCGGTTAGCTTGGGCTTACTTATAAATAGCAACAAGTGTATAATTGCATTTTAGTTACAAGCATTTTTCTCCCACGGATGTAATACACTACTAATAAGTTTTGTGAAAATTCCTCGACAGCCCACCACTAGTTTCACCCTTTTTAGGGCTCATCAGGTAGGCGTAGTCCCCTAGTTTTCATCAACCCTATGTTCTACTTGGAACCAAATTGCACAAAATGAGCGAAGTACACTCATTTGCAAACAAATTGGGTTTTGTGAGAGACTCGCCTGGAACCCAGCTGAATCTCTCGTTTATGGTGTTTCTAAGTAGCTGAATGTGCCGCGCAGGTTGCCTCATGTTTCAGTTGGTTCAACAAACGTATCCCAGGCGTCTTTTATAATATAGCTGTAGCAAGATACCAAGATTATGTTATATCTACGCCCTTGTCCATATAGGCAGACAACAACCTAATCGGTGATAAGGGTTCGTATCTATTCAAAACTGCTCTACGGAAATCTGTTTTGATGACTGACAAAGTCCCTCAGGAAGAGATTGAATCTTGCCATGGCGTGACGGTCTGTGTGCGCCCCTGACCTACTGAGCCATATTGGGGGTGCCCGTGTGATATCCACGGATTCTCTCATACCAGGTTGATCAATGTTTAGAGGCCTGAAATACAGTCTTCTTGTCCCACATGTTGGGAGTTTGAACATGTGTGGTGACTTGTACTTTAAAAAGGGGATGTGGGGACATTTCCAACCAAAAACCACTGCATGTAGTCCAACTTTTGGGTCCAGAACTCTAAACACCCTCTTGTCCAGGTTTGGGTGCCTTAGAAGTGCCCCAGTGCGTGTACAACCATGATCCCTACAACCACATCGGCAAGCCAGAGAAGCACCATCTTTCGGAGAATAATGCTGTGTTATTGCTTTTGATGTTGATTATGCCTGACAAAGTAACTCGAACTGAGCTCACTGAGCAAACTAAGAGCTGGCGCAGCCTTGTTGAGGGGAATGTCCATAACGTCCATAATATAATAATATATATCATATATAACATATAATACATAACATATATTATATTATATTAATATAGCACATTATACATTTATA